TCGGGGAAGTCCCAGAAGAAGAAGAGATAGAGAAAGAAGCCTAGAGAATATTTGAAGAAATAATGGCTGAAAACTTCCCAAATGTGATGAAAGACATGCAATAAACATCTAAGAAGATCAAGGAACTCCAAGTAAGATGAACTCAAAGAGACCCACACTGAAACATTTAATCAGACTTTCAAAAAACAAAAACAAAGAAAGAGTCTTGAAAGCCACAAGAGAAAACAGACATCATACACAAGGTCTTCAATAAGATTATCAGCAAATTTTTCATCAGAAATTTTGGAGGCCAGAAGGCAATGCTATTTAAAGTGCTAAAAGAAAACTGTCCATCTAGCAAAACTGTCCTTCAAGAATGAGGGAGAAATTAAGATTTTCCCAGATAAACAAAAGCTGAGGGAGTTCATTACCACTAAACCTACCTTGAAAGAAATGCTCAAGAGACTACTGCAGGGTAAAATAAAAGAACACTAGACAGTAACTTGAAGCCATATGACAAAATCAAGATCTCAATAAAGGTAAATACATTGCAATTAGAAGAGCTATTATTACTGTAAGAATGGGTTGTAACTCTACCTTTTGTTATCTTCATGACTTAAGAGAAAAATACATTTTTAAAAAATTATTAGTCTAAAAGCTAATATTATTGTAACTTTGGTTATAACTCTAATTTTGTTTTCTACCTACTTTAAGAGACTAGTGCATTTACAAGAATTAGTTTATGGTTTCGGGCACACAGCGTTCAAAAATGTAATTTTGTGACATCAACTACATGGGGGTGGGGACAGAGCTGTTATAGGAGCAGAGTTTTGTCTTTTTTTTTAATTTAGTAAAATACACATAACAAAATTTACCATCTTAACCATCTTTAAGTGTCCAGTTCAGTGGTATTAAATATATTCATAATGTGTACCATTACCACCATCCATCCCCATAACTCTTTCCTCCTGTAAAACTGAAACTCTGTACCCGTTAAACAATAACTCCTCCCCTTAGTCCCTGGAAACTACCATTACACTTTGTTTTTATGATTTTTTTTCTTTTAAGGAAAAAAGATCTGTACCCAACATGGGGCTCAAACTCAACCCTGAGATCAAGTCATATACTCCACTGACTGAGTCAGCCAGGCACCCCGTTTTTATGATTTTTTACTAAGTACCTCATATAAATGGAATCATATAATACTTATCTTCTTGTGACTGTGATGTTGTGATCAGGAACTGATCAATATAAGTCCTCACCCCAGAGAAGCTGGGCAAAAATAAAATAGCATGCAGACTTTACAAGCAGACTGGTTGCTCTCTGGACTGGTGAAGGCTTGCAATTCAAAACTCCCGATTGCTAACCCATAAATGCCTAGATCTTTAAGCAACTTGGCAGAGATCTTTGATAATTCAGTCCCATTGGTGGGAGCTGCTTCCAAAATGTACCTTCTCACATTGATTCTGTGCTTTCAAACTGTGAGCATATGTGTATGGTAAGGAAGTGGATGAGACATGTTGATCTGTGTATCACCAGGGAGTTCAAGGCTGACATGCACATCATGTTAAGCACAAATCCAGCTAAAGCCAGCCCTGCATGATCTAATGCAAGAAAACAAGATAACAGGTTATAACCCATGCAACTGTTCCTTAGATGAAAAAGGTAGATCCTCCTCAGTGGCTTTAACACATCAATCCACTTGGGAACTTGACGGGAAAGTACAAACTCAACAAAGGACTGAAGACATTTAGTGGTAATTATTCCTGTAGGCAGTTTGAAAATACATGATAATGGCAGCTCCCCACAGCCATAATGGAATTTCTACTAAATAGAAACAAGATCAATTTAGGAAAATCCTCAAAATGTATCTTAATAACCTCTTTTTAAAAACTGTAATACTGCTTTTTTACTATCCTATGGCAATACAATTGAGGAAGGATACTGACAAACTAATTAGCATGAGAGAAAGGGGCATTAAAATTACTTAAAGAGCATTTATCTTTCCGTCCTTTTACATGCAAATTGCATCTGTGCTACTTTCCAAGTTCCACTGCATTAGAAATTGAAATGGCCTCCATTTTAGACCAGCACTACATATAATAGCTCTAACTTTTAGATTAAAGAACCCTGCCTTCTATTACTAGGGCATCAGTAAATTGGGCATTCTGCAGCAGCTTTTCCTAAGAAAACATGGTGGCTCTTTACTTCCTTTATCCACTCAAAAAGCTTCATTTAAAATTAATGGAAACAATTGGGTGCCTGGATGTTTCAGTTGGTTAAGCATCCAACTCTTGATTTAGGCTCAGGTCATGTTCTCAGGATTGTGAGATCTAGCCCTGCATGGGGCTCTGCGCTCAGTGGGGAGTCTGCTTGAGATTCTCTCTCTCCCGCTCCTTCTGCCTCACTCGCTCTCAAATAAATAAATAAATCTTTAACAAATTTTTTTTAATAAAAAAATTTTTTAATAATAAAATTAATGGAAACAAGAAACTCAATTTGGCCTCCTGAGTTTAGGAAAGATTTCAAATTGGAGGCCTACAGGTCAAGTTTAATCTGTAGATGTGTTTTGTTCAGCGTACATAGTACTCTGACAATCAGGACTGCTCACATCAAATCAACATTTCCAGCTTCTGATAGGGTAATTCTGAGTCCATAATCCTGCATGACAAAAAGTGACTGGAACTAACTATAGTTGTCTCTTTTGAAAAGTCCCCAGATGCCCCTATCCCTGATTCTCAAACACCTCACTAATTTTTTTTTAAGATTTTATTTATTTGAGAGAGAGAGAGAGCATGAGCAGAGGGAGCAGCAGAGAGAGAGGGACAAGCAGGCTCCCCACTGAGCAGGGAGCCCAATGCAGGATTTGATCCCAGGACCCTGAAATCATGACCTGAGCAAAAGGCAGACGCCTAAACAACTGAGCCACCCAGCTGCCTCTAAACACCTCACTAATTTACAGTAGTACCAGCTTCTATAGATAACTTGAGTGACCTTCAGTTTGGAGTTTAAGAAAAGAACATCAAGGAGAGATTGACACAGATTCCAAGACATGTAGGCTACCTGTAGATAACTGACAATAAAAAAGAAACAAAAGGAGATTGCTACATAAATAATAGTACCTTTATTCGGTATCTTTCAAGAATACAACAAATTATAACCACTAGCAAATTGACAACTTTATATGTTCAGTAGTGCTACGCTGGTCCAACTTTGTTAAAATGCTGTTTTTTTCCACCTGAAACTAAGATTACACTGTATGTTAACTAACTGGAATTTAAATAAAAACTTGAAGAAAAAAAATGGTTTTTTTCGGAGAAGGAATGGAAGAAAATTCCATGAAATGGAGAAAGTTAAAAAAAATAACCAATGAGGCCTGACTTTGATTTTTAACTTAACTTATGCTTTAGCAGTCTAACAGAATTGAAGGCAACTTAAAAAGTAACATTTTCATGTGTTAAGTTTAAAAAAGTGGTTGAATATAATGGTTATTTCTTAACTAACCCAGGATTTAGAAAAAGTCCTAAATGTTAAGAAAACTTTTCATTAGATTAAATTTTTGTTTCAGAAAACCTCTAAACCTTTCCAAATAGATGAAATTAATGGAAATTCATTTTGATAAATGATAAACGTGTAAGTACAAGTAAATCTTTCTGACGTCAGTCTGGAAGAAACATTTTCCCTCTCTTTCACTGGCATGGTAGAAAGAACACCTAATCAGAAATTTAGTTTATCATGACCTCTGCTATGTGATCTCAGCCATGGGAATGAATAGGTAGAGCACGGAGGATTTTTAGGACAGTGAAACTATTCTGATACCGTAATAGTGGATACTTGTCATTATAAATTTGTCCAAACCCATAGTATGTACAAGACCAGGATTTATAAGATAAGCCAAGCAACCCTAATATAAGCATGGACAGATAGCTCAATAAAGGTATGTCAACATATCAAATACTCCAAAGAAGGATAATTACATAAATACAAATGGATAGATATGTGGAATTTAGTAAGTATAAGCCAAGTAGAGGAATATGTATTTCTGGGACTTACACAGAAATAAGTTATCTTCTACGAAATTCCTCCATTATGTTATATACTTATATTACACACATATATCACTAATCCTCATGACAAACCTTTAGAGGAAGTATTACTGCCCACATTTTGCAAAGAGGAAGAGGTAAGACCAGAATTTGAATACAAGGCTGTCTGATTCCAAGTTCATATTCTGTCTGCTATAAAGTAAAAAATAGACACTCAACTTAAATTTAGTAGGGGAAAAGGTGACTTTTTACTCTGACTCCATCTAATAGCAGCTCATTGTTACCATGTTCCATGATCAAGGCTGACATTCAGCTGGTATGGCATAAGGGCTGAAAGTTGTTATGATTATCTGTTCTGTTTGACTGAGGGTGCCCGTGACATATTGATCACTAAATATTTTGAATATCCTACCTGACCATGACACAGAACTCTGAGTATTCCATCACATACTTATTCAGACATTTGAAATCATCCAAAACCACTTCTCATGACATATTTTCCATACCTACAGGCATCTCAGGTCTACTTCATGCAAAACTTGGCTGGTCTTCTCTCTAGGTAAGAACATGCTAAGATTCCTAACTTTTAGAGTAGAAGCCTAGCATTTGCCATTTACATATACCAAAGCAAGGGACACATCTTTAAATCAGTAGTATGAAATTACTAACTGTAGGATTTCACCAGTGAGTCCAACCTTGAAATTACATCCTGCCTTTCTTGTTAAAAATCAGTCTCAAAGCATTCGTTATCTGGGAAATTAGTCTGATAGGATACTGTTTACAACCTTCCTCAGTTCTTGCTATAAAACTAGATCCCCAGAAAGGAATATATCTAGACATTAGCTTATGCCCTTAGATAGAAGTGCCTAAACTGAGTTTTATACAAAGTTATATTCTTGGATTTTATCAAGATTCAATATCAGAAATGACCATATGGAAAAAAGAAAGCAACAGTATAAATGTTTCAAGGACAAATCATCATAACAAAAACAGCATGATTTATTTCTGAGAGCTTCATACTTTAGATTTATTTATAAGTTAGTTATGCCAAAACCAGCTTGCCCAACCAATACACATAAAATGTTATATAAGCTCCCTCAACTGGTTAAGACCTAGAACTACCAAAAAACATGTTCCATTAAGTTGACTGTATCATCCTCTTCAGAAATTTCTGTTACTCCAGCCTGAGATCGAAGAATGGACATGATGTCGTGAGATAATTTGTCAAAGCCATTCTGTAAACATATATTTGCCATTTCTTGCCAGTTTTCTAATGAGAAAAATGGATCATTTATCATAAGATGTTCAACTATACCTGAGGAAAAAAATTATAATATTATAGTATGGCACTTATTCTTATTTGAAAACTCATACTTAGCAATTCTTCCAAAATAGAAAGGGGTATCATTTCAACTACTAAAGTTACTATTAAACTTGATCCATATAAGTTTAATCTGGAGTGTTTCAGCCAGTTCATGGTAAGTAATCAAGTGTTAGTTTCTTCATCTCTTTCATTAACCTTTTCATGTCTCACTTCAACCCTCTACTATCTCTCACATTCCCACACTTCTACTCATCTCCCATCTCCTTCTTGGTTGAAGGCTACACGGAAGGGGTCTCAAAAAATGAAGAATGAGGGCTCAGCCTTATTCAGAGTCTCTAAGGTACCACTAGACACTATCACATAACTGGGGGCCTACAGGTCTAGTTTTCATGATCCTTCAAATTCTTTTATAAATTCCCTAGTAGTGCTGATCCAAGGGCTTGAAAACCTCTTTGGCAAACCCTTCCTATCTCTGGATAGACAGAGACCTCTTAATGATGGGACTTCTATAATAAATATTTTTCTAAAGGAAATAAAAGAATGATTTTATTAAAGAAAACTCATGATATTACTTACTTTTGAAAATCAATTATGGTGACCCTCTTTGGAATATATTTATTTAGGGAACTCATTTCTTATCTATTACCTGCATTAGTGATGATACTTAATGAAAGAGGATCTCTTTTTAAAATATTGTCAGCACTGTTATTTTATTTCTACCATGATTATTATTTTTCTGTCAAATAAAATATTTTATTTGATATCTGTAATGATAATTTCAAAATTATCTTCCCAAATGTTTTCATGTAATTTGCTATTCATTCTTTAACCCCATATAACAATTTAAAATCAAGCTATCTGCTCAAGTTCCTATATTAAATTAGAGAAAGGAAAGAAAAAAGTGAGATGTAATTAGTTATTCTTGATCCCACTCCAGAGTTACATTCAGAGTAAACATCATATGGAAGTGACATTTACCTATGTATTTGGTTTAAGAATAAAAATACAGAGAGATTATGTCTAAATAACATTTTAAATATATATAAAATTACTAAATATACACATTTGTTAAAATACGTACAGTTTTTAGAGTAGTGTTCGCCAGTATAATTATTAAGATGTTCCCCTAAAGCTACATAAAGATTCTCTCTTTTTTGTAATTCCCTCAAGAAATACATACTATTGTCGACAGACTATTATTGACATGGTAATCTTTACATTTATAAACTCCCAAAGTCAATTCCTGCCAAGAAGGAACTCTTAGGAAAAATTAGTTAACTCAGACATAATAATCTTGAACCTTTCCCTAAATAACCCACTACTTTCTCTTCTATAACATTTTACTATACTTACCTTTCCCACCTTTACTTATTTCTTGAAGTAGCTTAATGCCAACTTTTTTCATATCTACAGAAAACAGATGAAGTATAGCAAGGCCAAAAGATAAAGATGGTGGTTTCCCGTTCCATTCTCTGGTGAGACACTGAATTAATTCAGTGTGAGGACATAACTTTATTAACTGCATCAGGTCATCTGAAAGCAAAAAATAAAAAAACTATGTCTCAACATCCTAATATGATACATCAACTACAAACTGGGACCAGCTAATGTCTACACCTGCCAATCAACACTTCTTCTTCCAATCCTTCCAAAGTCCTCAATGAACTCAACAGTACTCTCTCCGATCAGGGAAAAAAAAAAAAAAAATCAATGCTCAGCATAGCAAAAAAATGAAAGAAAACTACTTATAACACACACTACCTGAAAAACAAATTATCAAAGAACTGTGGTAGAATAGAAAGGACTAGACTGGCAATCAGGAAACCTGAGCTCTAATCACAGTTCCATCAATCACTTATTCTTTTGGATCTTAGTTTATGCACCTTAAAAGTGCTAGAATTGGTAGCTCCAATTTCTAAAGTTCCATCTAATACTACATTATGTTTGTCTACATCTTGTTGCTCATATTTGGACCAGTTCCTAGTAAGTATAATTTCTTTCTTTCTGTGTCTTGCACAGAAAAAGGGTCTCAGTAATTTTTTTCCCTAAAAATATCAAGTATTTAGAAACTCAAAAATGAAGACTTTAAGAAGCTATCAGCCAGTTCAAGTAGCTAGAGGTGGAGCCATATGAAGTTGCCTGTATTTGACCCTTTTTGACTCCAAAAAAAGCAAATTCATATGGTTTAATATACTAGCTAACTATTGAGTTCATCTAGTACTGCAATCATGATTCACATTCTTAAATTTATAAACTTGTGTTAACTTACTAAAGTTTTTCAAGTAAAAATATTCTTCTTGGGTCACAACAGAGGTAGTTTTCAGAATAATTTCTGAGAGCCTTTCAAGAACTATCATAAATGTAATTCACACTCTTGACAGGCACAAATTTCTGTACTGGGAACTTAAATCTATTAAATCTCTGCATTTAATATTCAATATAAGTGAGATATTATTATTCTCATACTGAAAGTGAGGAAACAGGCTTAGAGAAGTTAATTTTCCCAAAATTATACACATAATATAAAGTAGAACAGTTCATCTGACCCCCGCCCTGAGTCTATGACCTTCCAATCTATAGTAATGCTCCTCCAAAATAATAAATAAATGTGTGTGCACTGTATGTATGTATGTATACACACAGGCATGCACACACACACATAAATATATAGAGAGAAATGGTAAAAGAAGAAACAAGGAATAACAGAATATAATTCTATATCAATAAAGTCAAACAATTTTTAAAAAATTTCCCTAGAGAACAGGTAGAAGTTTATGATTTGGGCCACTTAAATTGGCCTCCACTAAGGTGAAGCTATTTTTAAAGATTTATTTATTTATTTATTTATTGGAGAGCGAGCGAGAGAGAAACAGCATGAGAGAGGAGAGGGTCAGAGGGAGAAGCAGGCTCCCCGCCGAGCCGGGAGCCCGATGCGGGACTCGATCCCAGGACCCCGGGATCATGACCTGAGCCGAAGGCAGTCGCTTAACCAACTGAGCCACCCAGGCGCCCGGTGAAGCTATTTTTATAGCACCCCCAGCCTCCAACATTTCATAACTCACACATCTTACTCTGCTTCATTCAATCAGGTATTCAAATCGCCTTCTCCCTGAATTAATTAACCAATATTTACTCAAATATGTACAAGATATGGTCTCTGACTGATTAGAAAGAATACAAATTCAAATCTCATGACCTTTCCCCTCTGCTTACCACACTTTGGAATCCATTTCGTTATTCCTTGGTTTGACATATTATTAATCATTTTTTTATCTCATGGATGTTCTGTTTTAATAAGATTATAAAGGCCTATATACCAAGTATGATACCTGTTTAACACAAATATCTAGAACACTGGTTCTCAAAATATGGTCTAGGGTCTACAAAGTCAAAATTATTTTCATAAAAAATTTTTTATTGTTATTTGTTATTGTTATTTTAAATGAATAAATATTTTTAAATTTTCTGCTTTAATGTCTAATAGGATAAATATCAATAGACATAACCCATGTAAGTAAAAGCTCTTTGGGATGTTCAGTGCTTTTTAAAAGTGTAAAAGAGACCTGAGACCACAATGTTTGAAAGCCTCACATCCAGAATAACTCAATTTCCAGATAGGTATATTCACTTGTTTAATGATAATGGGAAGGTGAACAAACAAATCATTTCAGGCTTTATTCTAAAAATTATTAGGGGGAAAAATAATTTTTACTTTTATTTATTTTTAAAGATTTTATTTATTTATTTATTTGAGAGAGAATGACACAGCGAGAGATGGAACACAAGCAGGGGGAGTGGGAGAGGGAGAAGCAGGCTTCCTGCGGAGCAGGGAGCCCGATGTGGGGCTCGATCCCAGGACCCCGGGATCATGACCTGAGCTGAAGGCAGACGCTTAACGACTGAGCCACCCACCCCAGGCGCCCCTAATTTTTACTTTTAAAACAGATGCTCTTTTAGTCACACGCTTTTGGAACAAATTTCTTAGAACTTTTCTATTTTTGTTTGGTTTTGGTTTGGGTTTTTAAATTTGTAAGTGTATAACTGATAGTCTAAATCTAAGAGAGAACGTTTTTTCCTGAAACCAGAAAGTATTAACAAAATGAATCTGTCCCCCAATGCCAATATGATACCATGGAAAGCTGTGGTTGTTTCTCATTAAAAAGTAAAATAAGGAAAGTAATTTTCAAACACTGTTTCCATTTTGTAAGCTTAATTTTTCTCGTTATTATTTTCATCTTATGATGTGCTAAATAAATTCTGAGGATAAATATCAAGGTTCTAATTACATAAGAGTGTTATTACTTTGTAAATTATTACAATATATATCTAATTATTTTAGATTATAATGCACTACTAGAAGAACAGAACAATATAATAGTGAGTCAATCATGTTTCTATGCACTTATGCAAGGCAAATTTTGCAAGCAAAACAGAAACTTAACATTTCAGTCAATAAAAATTCTAAGTGTAATTAAACCTATATTCCTTCCATGTCTAAACTGACTAAAATAATCTCTTATCTATGGAAAAATAATACTTAAAACAGAAACTGAATCTGTACACTTAGATAATAAAAATAAAATATATAATTCATTCAACAAATATTGAGTAGTACCTACTATACCAGATTCTGTTCTATTGCTATGTGTGTGTAGGTAAATTACTTATCTCTTTGAGCCTTAGCTTCCCTGTGGAAACACAGTTTTTTTTAATCTATAAAATAGGGATAATAACAAAACCTACTTTATAGTTAACATAAGGATTAAGTAAGCTCATGCATGTAAAAAGCCAAACTATAGTATCAAGTGTGCTGTTATATAACAAAGAAATTAATAACTTTAAAAACTAGATTCTAAGGAAAATTCAAGTTACTGTTTGAAAATGATCAGATTCAACAGCCATCAATGATCCTCTTTCCTGGAAAAATATGCCCTAAAAGTGCTATGTTTTATTCCATTTGCAACTTCTTAGAATTGGGGTACAAAGCCTGCAAATCAGAATTGAGAAATAGGCCTAGGATGTGGGAGATGTCAGGATGCCTATACATTTAGGTTACTGATGAACTAGGCTCAAAATAAGAGATCATCTCATTCAACTAAGGTTACCCTAAGGTTGACAGTGCTCTCAGATCATTGCCCAACTGCAACCTAGGTGTTTCAGAGTTTTGAAATGAACATTATTTTACTAATTCTTCATTTCTAATGCTTATATCATAGTCTAGAACATTTATGTAACAAATAAGTTCAGCTATTTAAAAAATAAATCCTTTAAGTAGCATGGTCTAAAATATCTGCAAAATAAACTGTGTACTTCAGAGGGAGACAAGCAGTGACACCCAAACATCCACCTTCTCCAAGGCTGTGAGGTCCTCCACCCCAGGACAGCCCCAGGCTCAGTCCCCAGTGCCTTTGCCAGACATGCGAGACAAACAAGATCTCCTCAGGAACAACTGGCCTTAAGGCAAAGACCACCCTGATAGGGCTGGACACAGCTACCCAGGACCCTCAATCAGCACCACGGACTTGACGAACTTCACTCTCTTGTTTCACTGTTTCCTCTGTGCAAGCCTTGGCTCATTTCCCTCTCTGGGCCTCAGTATCTCAACTTGTATGATGGGCCTAACAGTGCCTACCTGATGGAACTGTTGTGCGGATTGGCCGGAAGGACATGAGGATACCCTACCCAGAGTCTGGCACAAAGTAGGTACCCAATAAAAGTTAGATAGGTTTTACTAAAAACAAACAGACAAACCTACATATCAGTATATATAGAAAAGACTTTATAATGTAAATCCAAAATATTGCCTACTATCATGGGTGATCTTACAATTAAAGTCTAGAATTCAAATGTATACAATTAAGTAGACTGTCTCACTCACCATAAGTAAAGTCCTTGAATTGCTGTATGTATTCCATGGCCCCATGAATCTGACCCTGTTTACATAGGCAAAGAAGAGCTTTCTTATGCAGGCCACAGTCCCTGTAGATCATCTGAGCTAAAGCCAGGCACTTGGCCTTGTTGTAAGTATCCTGTTCCCCATAATCACAAATCACATCCCCCAACTCTTCAGAAAATGTGAGCCTAGAGCAAGCAGATCAATAGGTATACTTTAGAGAGTTCTTGATGAGTGGATAAGAATAAAATATTTGAAAATTCAGCACAGTAGAACTGGATTTTCTATGGTCTATAAGAATTCCAAGTTAACAGGCAATTGATGTAGAAGAAATCAAACATATCTAAGATTTAACAACAACAAGAACAAAAACAATCAGCATGTATTCTTATGGGGGAAGACATTTTAGCAAATCTGAGCTCAAGTTTTTAAAAAATCTACAAACACGGTTAAAACTCTCCTAAAAAGACTGGTGGGATTTAAAATGACAAGGTAAACAAAAATTCTCTTATAATTGGGGATCTCAATGTTCTCAGCAGTTATCTAGATTCTAAACCCTGCTGAATATAAGAATTCATTAAATGTTGGTTAACGACAGTGACAACAAATTTTAGCTCAGTATTAGTAACAGATCTTGCAAGTGTTTGCAAGAAATGTGTGACACCAGTGTTATTTTTTTAAATTGATATAGATATATACAAAACAACAGGGGGGACAAAGGATATAAGATGTCCCTACTAGGAGACACTGAAGAAGTAGTTCTTTTGAGACGGCTCACTTGAATAGGTTTCACTTGTCGTCACATTTTATTTTTTTATTTTTTTACTTGTCATCACATTTTAATGCGCCACCTTCAAACAAAACTGAAGCGAACCATCTGCACTAGCACATTACCTCCACCTAGAAATGATCAGTATAGGCCAAAACACATTTGGGTGTGATTAAAGATATTACTTCTAATCATTGGTTGTACGGAAATTTTACTTTAGTTATATTTTTAACAGCTATAGAATACCGGTGCCTGGGGCGCCTGGGTGGCTCAGTCGTTAAGCGTCTGCCTTCGGCTCAGGTCATGATCCCAGGGTCCTGGGATCAAGCCCCACATCGGGCTCCCTGCTCATCAGGAGGCCTGCTTCTCCCTCTCCCACTCCCCCTGCTTGTGTTCCCTCTCTCGCTGTGTCTCTTTCTGTCAAATAAATAAATAAAATCTTAAAAAAAAAAAAAAAAGAATACCGGTGCCTGTATACATGTAACAAAATGCCAATAACATTAAAATGAAATCCAGAAACCCCTCCAAAATGTCTGTTTACTGAAAATTCAGGAAATAAAGCCTACCGTGTTTATTGGGGTGGCCAGAGAGAGGTGGGTCTAAAATCAAAAGGCAGCTTCTGATTATAAATCAATTATTTACTAAGGAATTACCTGACTTCTACATTTTAGTACCAAAATACAGGTATGGTAGCTACAGTCACAATGTTTCCTAAGGCCGAACAAGTAATTATTTCAGTCTTTATAGTGACTGTATTCCCAAAGCAAGATGATAATACCAGTATTTTAGTTATTACTTCTCTTATTAATACCATAGTTGTATTTTTTAAGAAGTCACCACCATTATGTTGTTCCACCTGAAAGAAGGCCAGAGCTGAGGACTGAGGTTGCTGTGTCTCTGTTTGTCACTTTCCAAAAGGATGATGAGGAAAGAAGAATATGATGAAAAAGAAAAATTTTTTAAAATAAATAAATAAAAAATAAAAAAATTATCGAAAGGGAGGAAATGGGTCAAGCCCCAAAAGAATGGAATTGACCCTGAAGGAAAAAAGGGGAAAGACAAACAGGGATTCTAACCCTGGGGGAAAGGGACATAATCAAGCACCCTGCACCTGGCTGGGAAATGAGCCTGGGTCATCCTACCTTCTTTCTGTTTCCCAAAAGTCTCCTTCTTGGTTCTCCCACCCCTACTTCCAATTCTAAGAAGACTCTTTCAGGGACTTCTGAAAGTGGATCTCCAGCCTGACTCTGGAGAAATCAAATGACTAATAAATAAAAGAAAATATGCTTAACTCCACTAGTAAACTAAGGCATATTTGATTATAAACCAGATTGTAGACTTTTAAGTCAAAATAAAGGCAATATATAATCACTAAATCTATGCATATTTACTTACTGTTATTTTGTAGGGTTCAGTTTGTAAAGTTAATATGTCAGAGGATATTTTTCCTCTTCTAGGAGCAGTGTCTGCAATTTAGAGACCTAATGCTAGTAAAGCATCATTTCTTAAGTTTAGGCTTTATGTGTCAAGTGATCAGACTTTTCCTCAGGTAAGAATGACTAAGAGAGCCAAGATTAGTCTATAACCCAGGCTGTTTTAGGGCTGGCTCTGTACAGGGCTTCAGGGAAAGAACTGTAGAACTTTTTAAGGTAGCCATGTGGTAGAGGCCAGGTCATCGGAGTCAGAGACCAGAGGACAGAGGCTAAGAATAAAGAATGTGAATTACCTTCAGTATTCTGTTAGACCATCTCAGGATCCTTAAAAGTGGTGGTATTGTCCAAATTTATGCAGTCAAGGAATTTCATAAGAATTTAAATTCTTACAACTAAGAGGTAGAATCAGCCAAGAACCATCAGTATATGTAGGGAAATTAATCTTGTCTGAAGTGTCTCTGCATTGATAGCAGGTGTTAATGAACATGCACTTTCTAATGGTGTTCTCACATCTGAACCATTTCCAGGGCTCCCTGACAAGTACATTTTGTGGAGCATGTAGAAGGTGTGACCAGGCAGAAAAAGAAAGAGGCAAAGCAGGGAGAGCAGGGTGTATGTATGAAGAAGTTTCCTAAAACATAATTAACTATTATGTGAACAATAAGTGAAGCTAACAAGAGGGGTGGGAAAGAGATACTCTGCACTGGTAAACAATAGTGCCATCAATCCAGGACAGTCCGGGACTATCTCTCTGAGACGAGAGCATCGTGCAGGGGAAATGGTGAATTTGGAACGGGCAGCAGTAGGCAGTAGTACGCAAACTGACTACTCTATAATATGTATCCTCTGTCCCTATACATCCTGAGCCAAGAAAGCATAGCCCTTAGGCTGCAAAATAAGCAGGCCATGGCAACAAGACAGATGACGGGCAGGCCTTTCCTCACTCTGCCTTCCAATACTCAGAGCCCAACCTATGTCCGCATAGACCCAGCAAGAACAGCTTGATCTTCGTAAGCAGGCACACACTGTTTTAGTCCTCTTTACTGGACCAGTGACTCTTTCCCAGCTGACTGCTAACAGCTCCCAGTTTCTCCTTCCCCAAAGAATTGCCCTCAGCTGACTGGAGCTGCCTCATCCAGAAAATCATGCCTATCTTTCAACACCCAGTAGTCTAGAGCAGATGACTGACTAATAAAGAATACAAAAGGCCAGTCCTATAATTCAAAAAGAAACAACTCTGGTACAGTTTACGCTCCGTAGTCCTCTCCCTGTAATGCTAGCTATACCTGAGTTCACATTCCTGCTTGGCAGTTTGCCCTTCTCCATCCCATGTCACTTCTTCCCTTACAATATTTCTCGAGGAGGAGTCTATCAGTAAATGACATGCACTCAGGTGCAACTACCATGCTCTCTTTAAGGGAAAAGGGAAACTGAGTGCCAAACATATTCCTCTCTTCCGTGTTATGTAACAACAACCTTACCTTCTCATGATAATCAAAGTCGACCAGGATTCACAGAACCTCAAGTTGCAGGAGTGGAAAGCACAGACTCCCTGTGATGGTTAATTGAATGTGTCATCCTGACTGGCTCATAGAGCGCCCAGATATTTAGTCAAATATTATTCTGGGAGTCCATGAGGATGTACTTGAAAGAGAGTGGATCGGTAGACTGAATAAAGCAGATTGTTGTGACTGTGGATGGCTCTCATCTAATCAGTTGAAGGCCTGAATGGTACAAAAAGGCTGCCCTCTTCCAAATAAGGGGGAACTCCTCCTGCTTGACTGCTTAGCTGGGACATCAGTCTTTTCCTACCTTTGGACTCAAACAGAAACATTGGCTTTTCTCGAGTCTTGAGCAGCCTGAAACTCACACCATTGAGGGCTCTCTTGCTTGCTGGTCTCTAGCTTGCTGAGTGCAGATCTTGGGACTTACCAGCCTCCATAATCACATGAGCCAATTTCTTTCTTTATATATATGTATATACATATATACATGTACACACACACACATAATTTCATATATGGAAATATATATATATTTATATTATATACATTAAAATAATATATTAAATATATTATTGATTCTGTTTCTCTGGAGAAGCCTAATTAATATACTCCCCATGTGGGCTACTAGGAATGATAGCTGAGCAGAGCCACTCTTTTATCTCCCAGACCCAAGTATTCTACCTACTGGGGATACACCATGTAATTGTCACTGGTTTAAAGAGTGCATTTCATCCTGAAGGATGTTACTCCATCTTCAAAGGATGGAGTGACAAGCTGGCATCACCTGGACACAACCAGAACCATCCATGAGCCAAGTTTGGGTTTTTTCTTCCTTGTCTGCTGGTCTTAGGTCACCCCACCCGTGCATGAGGCCATAGGTGTGACGTTACTGTGGAAGTAGTGTCAGTCAGTTGGTGGTAGTTTACGTGGGGTCTGGGCCACCTATTTCTGAAGCTAACCTGTATTCTCTGGATCTGCTTGAGCATGATCTTGATTGTACCTGATTTTAGATGGACTGTCTGAGCCCACCTGACCTCATGACTTGGTGAGCCTGTCAGAATCCAGTTCATGATAAGCAGGTCTCTAGTTTAACAGTCATTGGTGTTCCCTGGATAGACACTCCAACTTTAACAAGATCCAGTAGGTGTTTTTTAATAGTATATAGTTGTTTGTTACAGGTGGCAGATAATCTACTGGGATAGCTCTTGGTAGTCCCAAGCCAAATGAAAACTGTTAATGGGTATCAATAATCATGGTTTGATAAAGGCATGGCAACCACAGTCATCCTACCAGACAAGCCATCAAGACCAACAGAAGTGTAAGAGTGAGAAGAATATAAAATGGATACAGAAGAAAGATGAGTAATAATTAATATGGAAGAATCTCAAAATAACTGTAAGTGACAGAGCCAGACCAAGAAGAAAAAATAATATATAATTCCATTTTTATAAAATTCTAGAAAACGAAACCTCATCTATTATGACAGGAAGCAGATCAGTGGTTACCTGGAGATGGAATGGGTGTTGAATGAGGTTGATTATCTCAGCTGTGGTAATGATTTCATGGGTATATACATATGTTAAAACTTGTCAAACTGTACACTACAAATATGTGTGGTTTATTATATGTCAATTATATCTCCACAATGCTGTTTTCCAAAAATTCATCAAATTGTACATTTGAAATATGTATCGATTATTGTATGTAAATTATATCTCAATAAAGTTGTAAAAAACAAGTAACAGCCTTAGGATCCATTGTCATGACAAGGGCTGTAGTACATCCCACTAACCCTCCTCTTACAAGATTCCCCCAGAATTATACCCACAAAATCCTGGACTAGATGGAGTGAAATTAAGGTGAGAAGCAAATACATTAGGTGTTGTGCAAACGGTTGACTATAGTAGATGCTGTTTTAATGTCCTGCCCAGATCCTCCTTCCCCAGCTGCTCTGGGTATTGGCTGCCAATGGCTTACAGGTCCCCTTCTTCTACAGCCAATTGCCCTTCGCTGGTGGGAGCCACCATGCCTAGGAAATTATGCCCCACCCAGGCAGCCCATAGCCCTAATAGAGTCTAACAGAGAGGTACAAAAGGCTGGCCTCTTGCCTCAAGGGGGACAGCTCTGTGGTGTGGTTTATGCTCCAGAGCCTCTATAAATAAGACCAAGGTTAGAACTTGCCTGAGGTTACATCCTTTCTTGGCTTCCCAAACACACACACTCTTCTCTATTCTGCTTCACTCACTCCCGTATATGGTTTTCTTGAGAAGCCCTCCCTCTATCAATCATGTACACTCAAATTCCTGTCTGAGGCTTTGGTTCTAGGGAATCTAACCTAAGGGGGCTCTAGTACAAATCTGCCAATCTGTATTGAAACCTAACTCCAAGAAGCCATCTCCTGTCTATCCTTAATGGTTTGTATGTTCTAAATGTTACCTTGGTCCACATCCATCCTGCTTATAAGTTTTCTCCTAGATTTATTCTTTACATGTACCCATAACTTATCTGGATCCAGGTTCCTGCCTTATCCCTCTGAGTAGCAATGATACTGATTAATCCTTTTCTACCCTTACCAATCAACTTCTATCCACCATTAAGTGGTCATGAATCATCTGTGAACTGCCATTACTCAACTCCTGATCTGGGCTCATTGTGACTAGGCCCCATTACTGCATGAATGCTTAGTAAATCTTTTTGACCAATTAACTGCAATAGAGACTGGAGATAAATGTTCAAATAATGTACTAATAAAAAACTATTGAAATCTTGAGAATAAACAACTTTATTAACCAACTATCAAAATTAAGTTAAAAGCTTTACTTTGCTTACCTTTCCTGGGTGACCCAATTGATAACTAAATCTAAACGTTTTTCAGATAATCCACATTTGATTCCTTCCAGGGTTAGTTCTGCATCAATAGGACGTCTACATGCATGACTTGTGCTAAAGATGGTCTCAAAAAATAAGAGTAATGGAAAAGGCTTGCCTCTAATCTTTCCAACAGCTATAGAGAGAAGAAAAGTTTTTGAGTTGAACACTTTAAGTAAATAATAGTTTCCTTTTTCTTACTTCATATTCTTTTCTTTTTTTTTTTTTGTTTTATTTATTTATTTGACAGAGAGAGCTCAAGTAGGCAGAGCAGTAGATAGAGGGAGAGGGAGAAGCAGGTTCCCCACTGAGCAGGGTGCCCAATGCGGGGCTCGATCCCAGGACCCTGGGATCATGACCTGAGCTGAAGGCAGAGGCTTAACCAACTGAGCCACCCAGGCGCCCCCATATTATTTTCATCTCTGTATCTTCAAAAATTTCAATCCAGGGGCGCCTGGGTGGCTCAGTCAGTTAAGTGGCTGCCTACGGCTCAGGTCATGATCCCAGGGTCCTGGGATCAAGCCCCGTATTGGGCTCCCTGTTCAGCGGAGAGCCTGCTTCTCCCTCTCCCTCTGCCTGCCACTCTGCTTACTTGTGCTATCTCTGTTAAATAAATAAATAAAAATCTTTAAAAATTAAAAAAAAATTAAAAAAATTTCAATCTAAAATTACATACTTATAATTTTTAACTAATGTTTATGGATTAAACATTACATTTTGGATAATGACTAAATATTACATGTTATGTGAAAACAGAGGCAGAGACTGGAGTGATATGTCTACAAGCCAAAAAATGCCAGAAATTGCTGACAGCTACCCAGAAGCTAGGAGAGAAAGATGGAATGTAATCTCCCTCAGAGCCTTCACGTGGAAATTTTAAAAGCTGAAAGAATATACCACCAGCAGACCTGCACTATAAAAAATGTTAAAGGTAGTCTTTCAAGCAGAAGGAAAATAATACCAGATGGAAATATGAATCTACATGAAGAAATGAAGACCAGAAATGGAATATGCTATGAATATAAGTATTTAGAAGTATATTGTTTTTATATAATACATCAAGCGGTATAAAATCACCTGAGGGTAGAATGTGATAAGTTAAAGATATAATCTACAAACCCTAAAGCAACAACCAAAATAAGACAACAAAGAATTATAGCTCATAATCAGCAAAGGAGAAAAGTGGAATCATGAAAAAAATTCACCTAATCCAAAAGAAGGCAGAAAAAGAGGGGGGAAATGGTAAAAAGAAGAGGTAAGAAAAATAGAAAACAAAAGTCAATCATGTCAACAATCACATTAAATGTAAGTGATCTAAAAACTCCAATTGAAAGGCAAAGATTGTCAGAGTGTATAAAAAAGAAGGATGTCAAATAAATAAAATCTTAAAAAAAAAAGTAGAATACAAGTATATGTTGCCTAGAAGACACTGACTTTATTTTTTTATTTTTTAATTTCAAGTTTTTATTTAAATTCTAGTTAGTTAACATATATGGTAAAATTGGTTTCAGGTATAGAATTTAGTGATTAATCACATATAATAACACCCAGTGCTCATCACAACAAGTGTCCTCCTTAATACCCATCACCCATTTAGCCCATCCCCCCTGCCTACCTCCCCTCCATCAACCCCCAGTTTGTTCTCTATAGTTAAGAGTCTCTTATGGTTTGCTTCCCTCTCTTGTTTTTTTTTTCCCCTTTCCCCTATGTTTATCTGTTTTGTTTCTTAAATTCCACATGAGTGAAATCACATGGTATTTGTCTTTCTCTGACTGACTTATTTCACTTAGCATAATATACTCTAGCTCCACCCATGTCATTGCAAATAGCAAGATTTCATTCTTTTTGATGGTTGAGTAATATTCCATTGTGTGTGTGTGTAGATATATAGATATATAGATATAGATATACATATACATCTATATATACACACATATATAGATAGATGTAGATATTTTCTTTATCCATTCATCAGTTGATGGACACTGGGCTCTTTCCATAGTTCAGCTATTGTTGATAATGTTGCTATAAACATCAGACATGGGGTGCATGTAAAAGACAATGACTTTAAATACAAAGACACAAATAGATCAAAAGTAAGAATACGGGAAAAGATATACAATGCTAATACTAATAAAAAGAAAAATGGAGTCACGCTTCTAATTTCAAAGCTTACTACAAAGCTATGGTAATCAAAATTGTATGATACTGACATAGGATGGATATCTAGAGAAATATAATAGAATTAAGAGTCCAGAAATAAACTCTAAACATTTATAGTCAATTAATTTTTGACAAAGGGGCCAAAACAATTCAATGGATAAAGAACAGTCTTTTCTTTTTTTTCTTTTTTTTTTTTAAAGATTTTATTTATTTATTTGACAGAGAGAGAGATAGCGAGAGCAGGAACACAAGCACGGGGAGTGGGAG